CAAAGTTTACACCAATAGATGGCAGGAATGCACAATACTTAACCAACAAAATCATTGCAAATGATTGCCAATTTAAAGTGCTAACAAAGGGATAGCTTTGAGACCTGCAGATGTATAAAAATACAGTCAATGATTGCAAAGTTTTTAAGTGCAAAAGTGGTATCCCTACAATTCAGTTATCAGAGGACTTCTCTGGTCAGTATAACTACATTCCATTAAAATATCAAAGTTTTCTGAAAGGAACAAAATGTTCTACAGATTCAAATATGGTTTCAGGCTGAGCTATTCTGTAGAGGCTATTGCAAAGAAGTCTACAGAGTATTGAAACAAAAGTTGTTTTCATGTCACAGATTTTTAACTGAAGCCTCACTTTGAAGGACACTTGCTGGATGGGCAGGCAGTTTCATGTCATCACCTGAACTGTCTCGTCAAGACACACCACTTTTTCTCCAAAGCCATCTCTCTCTCTCTGTGGAGGGAAACCAATTTCATTTTCTGACTCACCAAAATAAATGAATTTCCATCAGACTTGTTGGAAACACTCTTTTCAGATCAGGAACTGATACCAAAACCACAAGTCTCATCCAAAATTAATTCAAATGCCTGTAACAGGACCTCGACAGAATTTCAGTAAGTACTGGAAAAAGGATCCTCTTCCATAACTGTGCTATCACTACAGGAAGAGATTTGTTCACTATGTGTCTACATTTATACCTGTCTTCTTTTCCTCACTATATATCTCAAATTGTTTTCCGAAAAAACAGCACAGCATCAGTAGTAACCTAGACTAAAAGGGATGTAAGAGAAGAAGGATGAAGAAGAAAATTTTCCTATAATAGAATTTACTAGGAATCAGTTTCTATTGCTTGAAATTTTGTTCAGTAGAATAGATGAAGCATATGATCAGGAAAAGGAAATGGATCTTTTCTACCTTTAATTTCTGTGATTCAATAACATGGGGTAGTATCAAATTCATATATTAGATTCTATTTAAATCACTGTAGTTCTAGTAGGCTGATTGTTCCTCATTCACATGTCCTTGTAAAAGTGAAGCTAAGATCATATTTTTCATGTTTAATCTTCCTCTAACAATACCATCCTGTCAAGGCAATTTATTCCAATACAGTCAGCTCATAAGACCAATATTTCCTTTTTTATAAGCATATAAGTATATGATAAAAGGCATTTCAGTTACTTGAAGTGTCTCTGCTATCACCGAAGACAGAGTAACAGTTTAAACTGGTGTGTAGAATGTTGGTAAGTCATTACTAAATAAAATTGGAAGATGTTCACTTGTTGCAGGGCTCTCCAACTTGTCACACTACTATCAAAAGAAAAAAGATCTGAATCTGAAACTTAGCTAGGATACTCACATCATGATGACTTTGGATTAAAAAAATGAGTTTTACCATGGCATTATTTCTCCCATTGCAAATTTTTTTCTGTCCAACAACCTTTCTAGCATACCTAGACTTAGACTAGAAAGACAGTATACACTCAACAATGCACTGAAATAATTTGGTTAAAATTCACTGTCAAAATAGCTCAGCCATAAGCTTCATCCCTTCTATTATCATTCTTCCCTTGGGAAGATTCTCTTCACCACACAGAATTCTGCACTTGAAGTGGAGAACTGTCCTATCACTACAGAAAGTCTCTTGTACAGAGTTGTGCAAGCAATATTTATGATTTTATAAAGCAGGGGTTGAGTTTATGAGCAACTATCTACACAAATGCTATTATTTGCAAAACAGTATTGGAAAAATGTCATGAGGATCCATATGCAAATGAATTTCAGAAAAAAATGCTGATGTTTTGTATCTGCAGAGTTTTAAGTCATAGAATAAGAAATTTTTATACATGATTTGTTCAAAATTTCTTCCCAATTTCTACTTGTCCCAATTTTTCAATAATATGCAGATCTTTCCATATGCCATATTGATTCTTTTCATGTGCTTCCTTTTCTTACGCTATCCTATGCTAGCAAAAAAGATACCCTAGGAATTCTTTCTGAAGGATTTATCAAATACAAAAATTTTATATTTTTCAGGTTTAAAGTGCTGTTTTGACTTCAGCTTTACTTTAAACAGTGATCACAATACCATTCCAAGAAGCCTTTTAATGGAAAAGCATAATCTGATCTGTCTTTCAATACTAAATATTCACATACTAAGACTGACATAATAGCTGAATGGTAGCATTTCTGAATCAGCCTAAGAAGAGAAAAATCCACTATCTTTCCACTATAACAGATGATATATTCAGGTCACATTTCCTCTGCTATGCTTTGCATCTTTCTATAAGCATTTAGTACTCTGAAGACAAAGTTTATTTTTATTTAGGAGGGTTTGGTTGTTGTTTTTTTTAAATCTGTTTAAACTGTGTCTGTACTGTCACTCATCAGTTAGCTAAAACAGGAAAGTTCTCATGAAATTGGGAATTCAGGGAGCTACACTGGTGACTTTGATTCTGTCTACTGCTTCAGTGAACTCATCACAGCTGACTGACATGAATCAATAATGACACAAACTGGAAAGACCTTAATCCACAATACCTTCCAGATGCTGTATTGTATTTGGGCTCCTAAATTATCTTGAAATTTAAAGTATACAAACAAAACCTGCTAAATCAGTAATAAAATGTGCAAAGAATTACCAGGATACAGCAAAGTCAAAACCTGTTAAATGATTTTCACATTGCCTAAAATTAAGGACTTCTTATTTACTTGCCTTGCTAAAAGGCAAACCTACCTGCAAATCCTACTTACACACAGGGACAACTGGTGCAGAAACCATAACTTACTTGTTCTGAGTCACCTTCTGCATAAGGATATCTCTCTCTGAATTATGAAAAAATATATAAAAGGAAAAGGCAAAGTAGGCATCTAACCTGAAACTGTAAATAACATGGTCTAAATATCCTCCCTTCTCCTCTAGTCATTCACTCAGTCTTATCAGTGTATTACCTACAAGTATGTCCAAAGTATTTGAGCTCCACAGACAGTGAATTTTGCCATCTCTTTAAAATGTGTAAAGGAATACACAATCTTCATTAATACACTTCAGTGTATTTTCTTAAAAATTCTTTCATCACAGCTTCTCAAAATATTATAACTCGCTGATCTAAATTAAAGCTATGTTCAGAAGCCAAGTAATTAAAATTTTTGAATTAGTGAATTATTTCACTAAGGATGGTTCCTCTGAAGTGAAACCCCCTTTGGAAGCAGGTGCAAAGCTAAAACATTGAAAATAAGTCACTCCTAAGCTGACTACATTAAAAAAAGCCTGACTTTTTGCCTCAGTGGATGATAAATGTCTCAGCAGGATTCCACGAGAAAACAGGTAAAGTGGGACTATAAACAAGAAATGACAAAAAAGTGATATTGGTGTAATTAAGAGAGATGGAAATCCTTTCAAACCTATGAACAAATATAATCAAAATGCTTAACTCTTCCTGCAAACTGACATAAATCTTGTAAAAAATATCCAGCAGAAAATGCTAAATGTGCAAACTCTCTCATTATCCCTGTCAGTACTGTTAGTTAGATTGCTGTGTCACCATGAGTCAGTCAATTATGCAGTCACTTGCATAAAGGGTATTCATCCCAAATAATTATCTCTTGGCCTCATTTCCCAGACTTTGTGGTCTTGCTATTTTCTCATTTCATATTCCTTTTCAATGGATGCTGTGATTCTATTTATTCTCTTAGACAGCATTCATCTCCAAGGATTTCAGTCTCAAAGTTTTAGGAAATTCTGATACATCACATTCAAGTGTGAAAATTCATCCCTTTAATTCACATAATGCAAAGAATCTGAGATTAAATTACAGCTAATGAAATCAGCAATTTTCTTTTAGACATAGGCGTGGTTTTTATTTCCATACTTTCTTTTTAAATCTTACTTCCTATTCTAATAGAGAACTGTATGACATTTTCTCTTTCAAAAAGTCTTACTTAGTTTCCCATACACAACAGCAGTAATCGTATGAGGATGTATGGTAGTATTTTCTGGCTGTTTTACTGCTTTCTTCTCTGGTATACTAATAACCACCGATATAGAGTATGACCTTTACTGGGGTATACATTTATTGATCTTTTTCAAAAAACAGTAAATCATCAATAATTTTTGTATCTTTAAACTTCTGTATAAAGTTTAAAATATTACAAGACTATTTAAGACCCTCTGTTTTATTTTCCTTTGCATGTGAAACATTTAAGAAAATCACTCTTCAGTTTTCAGGGACAATGAGTGCCTGTATTTCTGGAGAAACGAATTGTCAAACTGTGATGTTTCATACATTGTCTAAAGATATTGCATTCACAGAATATGCCATTTTTAGGAAATTTTCACTGAATAAAAACCCTCAAGTTTTTACCTTCATTTTACCGAATGAGAGAGCATATGCAATTTTTACAAGAAACCTCATATGTCACTTTGTGGATGTTCTTTAATTGATTTGTCCTCTGTCTCATTTTGTATTCGCTTTTACATGTGGCATACTTTTTCTAATGCATTCCTAGCAGTCCAACACAAATTTCAAGTATTTAAACATATCTCCCAAACCTTTTGATTTAAAATTTAGCCAGATTCGCTCAAAATATGCAATGAAAACTTGTTGATTTCATTGTTGACAATGATTCATGGCAATCCAATTCAGTGAATGAATGGTAAGGATCACCTGCTGTTCAGGTTGCAAGCTGAGACAACCACATCAAATTCACTGTTTTCTAAACCAGACTCATGTTACACAGTACTTCCAAGCTGGAGTTCTACACCACTTAGAGAAGATTATATTAATAAATTGAGAACAAAATGGACAAGTGCTTTTTCTGACAAAACCCACCTTTTCACTGAATTAGCACATTCACTGCAAAAACAACTTTGTCATATTATTCTTCTGTTTATGCAATGACACAAGATGAAAAAATTCTCCATCAAAATGTGCAAAGTTTCAGTAATTTTATAACAGCTATTAAAAGGAAGAATTATTTTACTTACCAAGCCAACTTCTGTTTAAATATACTGACACAAACACTGGAGGGACCGTGAAGAAATCTACCACTGAATTAACTTCTAGCCAAAACCATAGCTTGTCATTGGCTGCTATAAACTGGAGGGGGGGAAAAAGAAAAAAAGGAGACATAAAAGAATCAGATTATGCTCACACTGATTGCATTTATGTGAAATATTTTCTGTTCTAAAATACAAAACTTAAAAGTGGGTGTAGTAATTGATGTTTTAAATCACTCCAGACAAAACATGTTTCACTAGAAAGAAGTTTGTCTTGTGTATTGCTTGATAATCACATTGGTATTAAACTGAAAGATACAACTGAAGAGGTAGATCATATCTGTGATCAGTTGTAATATCTGTGCTAAAAATAGTTTTTCACATTTATTAGTAATGTATCAGTATTATTAGAGAAGTATAGGCAAGTATAAAATATTTCAAATTCTACTCTAGCACACCAAATGTACTAGTAGTAGTTTCATCATGTATTTGCTGCTGACAAGTTTCAAAATACATAACAGTTTACAAAGAGTCCTATTATCATCTGTCCAGAAGGGTCATCAGGATGACTCCTACAAGGCTTAGTCCAGGACTACACCAGCAGTTCAGTCCTTAGAACTATGCCATAAACATGGTCATTCCTCTCTCCTGACTATGAAGTCAGCCCAGGGAAAGTGGTAAACTTAGACGACAAGGACATCAACTTGCCTCTGTGCTTAAATAAGGTCAAACTATTATTCCCATTTGAGTAATAATTAAAACATAACAAAACCTTTGCTTTATAGAAATATGAAATTTAAATATACAAATAAATATAAAATTTTTGTGCATCATGAAGACATTTACAGGAGCAGTTTTACTCATTTAAGTCTTGAAACTTTGACTAACACATTTAAAAACAGTGCTTGTATTTTGAGTTAAAGAGAATATTCATTGAGTTTCTTTCAAAGCAAATACAGAAAATTGCTACCTCATTCACTTTATTTCCTAGCCTTAGAAATACTTTAAAACTTTGACAGAATAAGTTTATGGTGCATACCAACTTTGCTGGAATGCCAGATTAAATATTGGAAAGGAGACTGTACTGATGTCAAAAATGTTGAAATCATATTTAAAAATAAGACCAAAAACATGAGCAACATTTGCTTCAGAGAATACTCAAAACAGAAAATAAATTGATATTTTGCTAGTCTGTATCACTCAATATCAATGCTCCAGCATGAAAACAGAACAAATATATCCAGTTTCAGCAAAAGATTTCTATTCCCTTCTGTTAAATTTAGAAGTAGTCAAAATATTTGAAAGTAAAAGCTTTTTAAGATGTCAGATCAATATTTTCATAACTTACAATATAGGTTCCAATCATCATTTTATCTTTTCATAGGGCACAACTTTTAGGCTTTCAAAAAAATTAAAGTCAATTGAAACAGTCTGTTGACTGTAAAGGTCACTTACACTTCCCTGTGTAAGTACTGCAACTTTATTCATTTAGGTAATTTGCAACTAGTAAAAGCCCATTTTGTTACAGAAGCAATCCTACCATGCTTGAAGAGATGCTGTCTTTTAAAAGCACTAGCATAATTCTGTCCCTTTCAAAGAAGGATTACTACCACAGTCTCCTTTTCTCTGCCAGACCCTATTGCTTGAAAATATGCTAACTCATGTAATTTAGACTCTGTCTTCATCAGAAGTTTGAAGGCTTCATTTCCAAGCTCTCACATAGTTGGATACTAACCAACAAAGATTTTAAAATGGATATATGTGTGTTTGAACACAAATATCTTCTATAACTGAAGATACGGCAATATTTACATGATTTTGAGTTGCATATAATTTCGAGGAGAACAGATGGAAAAGAATGAGATCCTAAAATACTTCTTCAAAATCTTTATTTTGCCAGTGAGTCCTCACATGAGATATTTATCAGAGAAAAAAAAAACAAAAACTAAACCACTACAATACCTAAAGATAAGAGGTGCATATTACGTAAGTAGTAAATTCATTATTGATCCAATTCTTGAGTCCACACAACCAAGTATCACCTTTACCTCAGAAACTGTTTAGTTCATCAGGACTTCCTGCAGATCTGAAGGTACACCTGTGTTAGCATTTTAACTTAGATAAAGAACACCAATCTGAAGTGAATAGTTACCATTCACACTTACCATAGCCTCAGTTTGCATCACAAAACAGTTTTGGATAACACAAGAACTTACTGTGCTTGAAACTAAAACTGAAAAAAATTAGTTCTGGCAGTGCATCTCACTGTAACTGCTAAAGCATTCAGTCCACAGGACCAGGGTGCAGTCAACAGAACTGTCTCTCTCTTTCAGAAAACATACAGTGCAGACATGAAAGTATTAACATCACCTCTCAGTATTTTCTCTCTTATAGTGCTCTATTACTTGATAATGTGAAGTAACCGAAGTTACTGCTTTGAGTAAGGGTGTATATGTAATTATAATTACAATATGTAATTTTAATTCTTTTGGTAAGAAGATACAACCTTATTACCAGCACAAAATGTACAAATAGATTTGGCTACTTCTAAAAAAAGGTTCTTGGAGGTTCACAACTACCATGCATTGAATCCGTTATGTTAAAAAGTCAACCTATACTGCAAGCCTTATGGATGTCCACTAAAGCCCCACTCTCAAGAATTAGGGGCTATTACACTATATGCTTTTAAAATACAGCTTAGAATGCATTCATAGTAGTGTAAATACTGAAGGAATTTATCTATTTAGCTAAAGGATAAACACTGCACCTAGACTAGGTGATGAAATAACCTAGATCTGCAACATAATTCTTTACTGTATCTTCAGAAAAAGTTGGTTAAATTGGTCAGAAGTGAAATAGAAGGAACACAACTATCATTGTGACACAGGGGTTCCTATGATTCAGGAACAAAATGGACAAAGAAAGATCAGGAGGCAATATTTGTATCAAATTTTAAAAACAATGTAGCAGGCTTTCTCCTCACATAATGATTTCCTTGTAGTTCTGTTAAGTTTAAGGCCTTTTTCCCCTAATTTTTCAATTAAGAAGCAAAATTGGATTTCAAAGTGTATAAAAAAACAAAAACAAAACCACAACCAAATGTAAACAGCTTGAATGGCAAGCATTACTAGCCCAAAGTTTACTAAGTGCCTACCTGTTTCAGATGTACCAACTTTTAGATCCTGAAACAGCATTACTGGATTTGCAGTAAGTGACAAGTACAATCTAAGGTTCTGTGTTTCAGCATATTGAGCAGTATTTATAGCTTATGCAAACACTCATTACCAGTCTGTGAAAGTGGATGCATACAAAACTGCATACAGCAGCTCTAGCACCTGTTATCTCAACCTTTGACTGCCAAAGACATATCTAACAGCAGAGGAATAGATCAACCAGTTTTGCTGAAGTAGTTATCACACCATTGAGAACACTGAATCTAAATTTCATGTCACTGACCAGCACTGAACTGTTAGAGTTTTCAGTTTCTATCACATAAGAACATTCTGGGACAGCTTCACTTATGAACTGTTGGTGTCCTTAGTGATCTTAGATTCTTCTTATTACCTAAACGTTCCAAATAAAATGTTTTGATCCTGCACTTTAGAAATTAGCTTAATTCTGTCGAGCCATCAGAGTCAAGCTGCATTCAAAGACTCTTCCTATCTAATAAACTATATTCCCTTGCTGCCTCATGCTATCAAAAACACACACACTACTTACACGCAAGCCGAAGTAGAGTAGGAAGAACACATTGAAAGCCATGTCGATCTGTAATGTGAAATCTTTGTAGAAATTCTGGCAGGATTCTATTGGGCTATTTGAAACAAAAAGAAATCAGAATAAATCGTCAGTATATGAGTTTCTACTCTGCTGAGAATTGTATGCATTTCATTAAAGACCTTGATTCAGAAATAATTTTTCTGTTTTCCAGTCATTTACAGGATACAAGCAAGCATTTCAAAGGAATTATTTCATTCATTCAGTTAGTCATTCATACAGTGTTTATATTCACCTATTCAGGTAATATCTGAGAGTTAACATGCAGATACCCCTAGGAAAGGACAAGCAGGAGAATACCTCAGGATTCCTTAACCCCACATTAACCCTTAAAGAACTGACTTCTTTCTAAAATAGACACACCTATGATACTTTAGGAAAAAAACCTAACAAGCACACAGCTACAGTGAAACATTACATGCTTTTAATTAATGTCATAATATAAAACCTTTAACAAAAAAGTAGTTGCTTAGGAATACATTACCCATTAGCAACCTGGAGTACTTAGTCTTGTAGCATCCCTTGTTTATAAGAAGTTGGGGTATTTTTTCCTTTTTTCTCACTTTTTTTTTTTTTTTTTTGGTATGGCTATTTAATGTACTTTATATACAGTACTATGAACTGAGTAGAAAAGCAGCATAGCCCACTGGTGAAATTAAATAACAAAATAAATTGAAGAATTTGAAGCAGTACTCTAAGGGTTAATTTCTGCATGCAGGTTATTTAAAATACCCTTCTGTGTGTCAAGCAGCCATTGCAAATTATAGCTTATTATATTATGTTTTATTTAAGAGTGGGACAGATCCAAAGCTTACTCTATACAAACTGGTACTTTATAGGTATACTTTCCTCTAAGGAGGCAATAACTTCCACAAGTATCATTAGTGATTTATTTGTGAAGTTTCTAAAATAGGATGTTGAAGCCACAGTCCAGTACTGTAGTCACATACCAACATGAAAATCATGTCCCAATATATGCTGATGTATATACTATATGTACATAATGTCCCACCATATATACATAGATATACACACATATATTGCAAATGATCACGTGTTCATCACAGTTAGAATAAAACGGGAAACTAGAACACAGATCATTTGATCATTTGAAGCCCTAGAAAATATCCTTTTAGAAAAGCAGAAATTTGTTGGCTTTCCAGGTCAAATAAATCACTGAACGTGAATGTAATACCAGTTAGTATAGCAGTAGCTCTGCAAATATAATGCTAGACTGCTCTACAAGCAAGATTCTATGCATTATGAATGTCAGTTACCTAATTGGTATAAAGGATATTGTCTGGACTACCAGGTCATTACACATGCAGCCAAATTTTTCATTCCTTGTATACATTACAGGTCAAACAAGTTAAGTACAGCATGCCCTCTCCTGTCTTTAGATGCATGAATGTATATAGCAAAAGTCTCCCTGATATACAATAGCTTTGTATTTTAAGAAGCTGCATTGCTATAGGAAATTTTATTAAAATCTTTTTCAAAGGCTATTTGCAAAGACATCGAACTTATGAGACATTTCTTTTACACTTCAAATAAAACTGATTTACACAAGCAGGCAGAAGGGAATAGAAGCCAAATGTCAACATATAGCACAGCAGACAGTACCTCACACTTTATAAATATAGCTTTAGCTACAAAAACAGTGGATGTAATCTGAGAACCCAACTGGATCATTTTTTTAATGGAATTATTGAGAGCAAAGGATTTTGTCAAAATAAGGTAGGTCACACACTGAGTCACTATGCACCCTACCAAAAGAAATCACAGCAAGTACAGCGGAAGCAAATTCAACAGCCCTGCACCAACACAGAGGCTTGGACTCTTAATTCCAGGTTAGGTTCCTGCAAAAGCTGTAAAAATTCACTGAAGCTACAGGAATTGCAGAGACTTATAACTAGGATAGAGAGCGCTTTTTTTCCACATTTATTTAGTACTTTTCATGATTGTCAGACAAGGTCAGCTAAGGTTGCAGCTAACAGCTGTACTCTTATGTCATTACCCTTTACAAAAACCTACAAGACCTGACAAATTAGCTAATGTATAATACATTTTCATCTTGTTTGCCAAACACTTAGTGCAGTGGACCACAATTCTGATTTGGGACTCTTATTTACCTAAAACCAGAACTGCTATTTCTGCTAGTCATATCCTTAAATCTTCCCTCATTTCAGAGATCATGACTCTATCAATTTTTAAGTTAACCATTTCAAAGACAAACACAACATCCTTTTCTTTTTACTTGAAATCATGATTTTGTCAGAAAGGCCTGCCACTAAAGAAATTATTCTTCAGTTTAGATTTTTTTTGTTTTCATCAGTAGCTCACATTTGAGCTGAGATAAAAATATGGCCACTGACGTTTATCCTTGCACCATTCAGTCTGCTGCAGACAGGAAACCAACTTGAAACTTATCTTAATACCAAGTTTCCCCAAACCAGAAGTGCTATAGTTGTTAGATTCCAGACAGTAATCTACTGGGCTCTCCAAGACTAATAATATATTCTACATCCTTTAGGGAAGCAAAGGTTTCAGTTTTAAGAAAGCAACAGACTGCTAGGGATGTTTTTATTCTTCTTTCATGTAAGCATGGTTTCACACATTTATACCATAAAAAAACCCCAGAAGAAACTATGATAAAATCAGTTAAATAGCATACTGGCAATGACAAGAAAGATTTAATATAACTTCATAAAAATTATAGTACTTATGTAACTATAAATGCAAGGGGTATTGCAAAAAAGGGGCAGGATCAATAGTCCAACAACTGTGGGACAGTGGGTGAATGAGGCAGCTTTGGACGGCACCCCACAAGACCTGATTTTCTGAACAGAGAAGGACTGGTGAGTGATGTGATGGTTACAAGTCATCTTGGGCAAAGCTATCTCAAAAGACAGTTTCTGATTCTTGGAGAAGTAAGGAGGGGAGTCAGCAGAACTGCTATCTTGGACTCCTAGAGGGCAGATTTTGGCCTGTTTAGGACAGTGGTTGAGAGAGCTCCATAGCAGGCAGTTCTGAAGGACAAAGGAAAGTCAGACATACTTTAAGGAATTTTAAAGGTGCAAAAGCAGGCCATTCTCATGTCCTGAAAGACAAACTGGCAGGGAAGAAGATCAGCCTGGTTGAACAGAGAACTTTGGCTCCAACTCAGGAAATAGGAGTGTATCACCTTTGGAAGAAGGGACAGATGACTCAGGAGGGCGTCAAGGATGTTGTGAGGTTATGCAGAGAGAAAAATGGAAGGGACAAAGCCCAGTTAACATTTAATCTGGTTACTGGTGGAAAAGACAATTAATGTTTCTAGAATATTTAGAATATTAGAAACAAAAGGAGGGCTAAATAGAATATTCACCTTTTAGTGGATGTGGGGGAAACCTAGTGAGAAATGATGAGGAGAAGACTGAATACCTGCTTTGCCTCAGTCTTTAATAGCAAGACCAGTTGCTCTCTGGGCATCCAGCCTCCTGTGCTGGAAGACTGGGATGGGAGTAGAATGAAGCCCCCATAATCCAATGGGAAATGGTCTGCAAACTACTACACCATTTACACACAAGTCTATGAAGCCACATAGAATCCAGCCAAAGGTACTGACAGAACTGTCAGAAGTGCTCACCAAGCCACACTCCATCATTTACCAGCAGTTTGGGTTAACTGGAGAGGTCCTAGATGACTGAAGTTAGAAAATGTGACATCCATCTACAAAGAAAGGTCTTTGAAGGAGGATTTGGGGAACTATAGGCCTGTCAGCCTGACCTCAGCACCAGGGAAGGTCATGGAGCAGATCATCTCGAGTGCCATCACACTGCACATGCAGGACATCAGGGGATCCAGTCCAGCCAGCTTGGGTTTATGAAAGGCAGGTCCTGTTTAACCAACCTGATCTCCTACAACAAGGTGACCCACTTGGTGGATGAGTGAAAGGTCGGGGATGCTGTCTACCTGGACTTTAGTAAAGCCTTTGACTTCATTTCCCACAGTATTCTTATGGAGAAACTGGCTGCTCATGGCTTGGATTAGCAAGGCAAAAAACTGGCTGGAAGGCAGAGCCCAAAGTGTGAATCCAGCTGCTGTCTGGTGGTGCTCCCCAGGTATCAGTATTGAGGCCAGTCCTGTTTAATATTTTGATCAATGATCTGGACTAGTGCATCCTCTGTAAGTTCACAGACCATACATAGTTGGGTGAGAGTGCTGATTTGCTGGAGGGTAAGAAGGCTCTGGAGAGGGATCTGGAAAGGCTGAATCGATGGGTTGAGGCCAGTTATATGAGGTTCAACAAGGCCAAGTGCCTTGTCCTGTGCCTGGGTCGCAACAACCCCATGCAGTGCTACATGCTAGGCGAAGAGTGACTGGAAAATTGTTCATCAGAGAAGGACCTGAGGGTGCCGGTCAACAGCCAGCTGAACATGAGCCAGAAGCATGGCCAAGTGGCCAAGAAGGCCAATGGCATCCTGGCCTGTATCAGAAATAGTGTAGTCAGCAGGACCAGGGCAGTGATCCTCTCGCTGTACCAGTGTCCCACTGAAGAGGCCACACCTCGAGTTCTGTGCCCAGTTCTGGGCCCTTCACTTCAAGAAAAACACTGAGGTGCTGGAGTATGTCCAGAGAAGAGCAACAAAGCTGTTGAAGGGTCTGGAGCACAAATCCTGTAAGGAGTGGGTGGGGGAGCTGTGTGTGTGTTTAGCCTGGAGGAAAGGAGGCTCAGCAGAAAACTTATTACTCCCTACAACTCCCTAAAGGGGGGACATTACAAGGTGGGGGTCGGCCTCTTCTATCAACTGTAAGTGACAGGACAAGAGGAAATGGCTTCATGTTGAGCCAGGAGAGGTTTAGATTTGGTATTAGGAAAAAAAATTCACTAAAAGTTTGTCAAGCATTGGAATAGGCTGCTGAGGAAAGTGGTTGAGTCACCATCCCTGGAGGTCTTTAGAAGATGTGTGGATGTGGCACTCAGGGACATCATTTAGTAGTAGACTTAAAGGTCATTTCTAACATTAGTGATAATGATTCTATTATTCTCTCATATTTATGTGCACTTC